AAGGAGAGAGGGGGACAGGGGCAGAGGGGGAGAGGAAGAGAGGGGGAAAGGGGGAGAGGGGGAGGAGAGAAGGAGAGAGGGGAGAGGGAGAGAAGTACGAACTGCTTGCTTGTTAGGTTGATTTTATGGACACACAGTCTGAAGCAAAGAGAATTCAAGAGAGAACAGAAATTTCAGAGCAAAATTGGGTGCTACCAATGACAGGTGCTACTCAACCGGGAGGGAAGACCAGAGCAGGAACCTGGAAGCACAGTTAGAGTTATTATGGAGGAGAGATAAGGCTACTCCAAGGTATAAGGATGGCAAGAGGCAAGAGCAAGCGTGTGCAGTCTCCGTCCTGGCTCAAGTGGGAGGGGGGTTTCTGGGAGCGTGGATGGGGTAAGATGGGACAGTTACGGAGGGCCTGCAAGTCACAGGAGGACTTCGCACATTGTCCAGCAGGAAAAAGAGAGAAGTTCGAAGAGTGAGGGTGAGAGAGAGGAGCGATGTGAAGAAAACCGAAAAGGAGACATCAGTGAAAAGAAATGAGGTTGGAGAGAAGGGAGAAGTGAGCATAGCAACATCCTCTGGGCCCAGACAAACCCTCCGCCCAGCAGATTCCCCGCCTTTCTGCCTTTTTGCAGAACCCTGGTTGTGTTGATGGGCTCTGAGTGGCCGAGTACCTGCAGTGCACCACGGTGGGCCCGGCCCCAGGTGTCCTGTTGATGTAGTCCCTGACAGTCCTCACAAACTGGATCAGGGACTGCGTGGTCTCTGGGACTCCGTGGTCCGGCCACACCGTATAGTGGAAGTGGCGGATGAGTCTGTGTGCGTCGAGCTGCTCCTCCTGTAAGAGCAGAGAGGAAAGTAAGAAGGACGACCGAGGCAAACCTTCCAGTCTGACATTCCTTCCTGCGCCCATGCAGGAATGCCCTGGTCTGCAATGACAGAGAGGGACCAGCAAAGGATGGCCTTCATCTTTCCAAGCTGGGTCATTAGATGAAACCAAATAAATCAACATACACTGCATATCCTAAACTCCCGGATGGTCCACTCAGGCAGCACAGACTCCGAGAGCATCTGCAGGATGAGGTCCCCATAGTAGAGGGAATCCTGGTCCGCTGGCCAGTAATGGTCACACTTTACCTAGAGGAAAACAGACAGAAAACAAGTAAGTCCGGAAACGTGACTCCTCCACAAACCTGAACTTTCCCTCCTCGAAAGGTCTTCCTGAGCTGGACCCAGGCTCAGCTGCTAAATCAGTTTCATATCTGCTCTGCATTAACCTGCTCATGGCCAGCGCTGAAGCCAAGCGCTGCTGCAAGTGAAGGGGGGACGCTCACTGTGCGAGGAGCAAACCCCTAGCCTCTGAATTCACTTACCTTTCAGGCACAGTGGTTCATGGCTGAAGTTTTAAAAATTTCCTTAGCATTTCTGTTCCACTAGCAGATAAACCATATCTCACAATGACTCTTTTTGAAGAAGAATCTAGCTGGGCAGAAGAAGGCACTGTCTCCCAGGTCCTGTTTTGTTTCTAGTTTGATATCACTGTTCTAACCTGGGCCAAATGCCATGTGCCAAATGATCTTTGAAAAGTTTGAACCTTTGCCTAAGCTCAAAATCACATGTAGAAACACAGGAGAAAGAGGATTATGAACATATATTATTGACCACAGGTACTGCGCACTTTGCATGTAATCTCTCTCTTAATCCCCAAAGTAACCATATAAAGTAGAGGATTATAAGTGTATTATAAGAGGTTTGCTTAATTTGTCCGGTTAACTATTTCACTCTGTGTCTGCAGACACAGCCTAAAGTTGACTTCTCTTTCTTCTTAAAGGTAGGGGCAGAGCCAGTGACCCCCGCAAGGTGTCCCCTCTCATCGAACACTGAAGGATGGAGCAGACTGTGGCCAGTTCATCTTTCTGTGTCAGGGCACTTCTGCTAATCCCAGTCCTCACACGGAAACACCTTCGACTGAAACTTCACACCCAGAATCCATTCTGGGCATCAGCTAACAGAGCCTTTTATAACTGAGCGGTTTAATTCACTGGCAGGGTTCTCACAAGATCCTTACTTAGCTCTGCAGGGGTTAACTTTGGATGGTGGGGAAGAATTCCCTCCAGGTGGCGGAAAGCAAAGCTGGAAGTCAGGAAGACTGTTTACTCACCCGGCCCTTCTCCACACACTGGGTCACCATGACAATGTTGTGAACATTCTGTTCCCACGCCATCTTCCAGAAATCATCCTTAGTGCCAGGAAGAGGTCCCTGAGTAACTATGTATTCTCTTCTGAAGTTGTTGCCCTGCGATGAATTTACAATATGGAGAGTCAGAAACAATAGGCCTCTTCAGAACTATAAACAAAGGCTTAGCTGCAGATGAGTTGATATGTAGGTCTTTGCCAGGGCCCTGACTTGGGAAAAAGATACTGACACAAATGTCAAGGCTTGGGAGCAGGAAAGACAAAGGCCGGAACATTGAACTATTGTTAAGAGCCAAATTCCTTTTTATTAGGCTGGGTCTATTCTAAAAGGCAACAGAGGGAGGACTCAGGCCATAATCTGGAAAACACTTCATCTGCAACTGTGTGTGTATGTGTGTGTGTGTGTGTGTGTGTGTGTCTGAGGGACTGACTTTGATCAGGCTCTTTCCTTATTTAACATAGAAGCTTGTAGTCATTTTGGACAATTGACACTGAAATGTCGGTAAGAGATGTCATGCAAGGGAAACTTAAGAGAAGCCACTGTTTATTGAGCACCTACCTTATAACATGCTGTGGGCCAGGACTTTCCCAGATCTTATTTAATCTTAACCACAACTCTACGAGCTGGGATATTTTCACACACTCGTTCTGTGCCCCAGCAATACAGAATTCCTTGCAGATCCTAGTTGAAGCTCTTTCTCTCCTTTCTTCTCAGGGCCTTTACATTCTGTTACCTTGGCCACTCCCACACCCCGCCCACCCAAACACTGCCTCTCATTTGAGTATTCCTTATTTATCTTCCAAGTCTCAATGTGTTGCCTGTTCTGCTGAGCTTTCCTCTATCTTTCTGTCTGCTGGGTGATGTTCCCCTCCTGTGGCAACTTCTCACCTCTTGCTACCCAGAGAGTGGCCCTTAGGCCAGCAGCATGGGGCTCACCTAAGAGCGTGTTAGAAGTACAGAATCCCAGGTCTCACCCCAGCCCTGCTGGGTCAGAGTCTACATTTTAACAATGATGTGGCGTGTGTTTCTCAGGGCATCGCCTTGTCATGTCCAGATGCCCCAACTCTGCTGAGAGTTCCTTGAGAGTCAGATTCTATCTTATCAGATCCCTGTACATAGCTGTACATAGTGTTTGACTTATGGTCAGCACTTAAGTGTTCATTGAGCGAAAAAATGATTATTTGAGATAAATATTATTTATCCTCATTGCTTGGAAAAGGAAATAGAGGACCAAAGAGGTGACATAACTTGCCCAAGGTCACAGAGTCTGGCAAGGGGCAGAGATGGGGTTGAAACCTGGATCTGCCTGACCTTAAACCCTTTTCGGCTGTAGCGTGCTTTGGGAAGCTGGCACAATGCGAACCAGAATCCGAGCCCAAGGGTTTGACATAACCTTGGGGCTGTGTCTGTGGTTTTCAAATATCCAAGTAACTTTGCATTCGCTTCCCTACCTAGGCAGCCTTAGCAGGGGAGGCCCAGCATCTGTAGGGAGCACTAATCTTGGCTAAGGGCTGCAGCGAGAAAGCCACCTGTGAAAATGCATCCTGGGCTCATTATAATCTCTTGAGACTACAGCCACTGTGAAAAATGGGCCTTAGCAGTGATCAAATTGGACATCCCGTGCTTTATGGCAATCAGACACGGTCTTGTTTTCTAAAACCTGCGAACAGTAAGTAATAGCATGAAGGAGGAGAGGCAGCTCCAGTGCGGTCACTCATCAAAGCTTCATGGGGGCACGGTAGCCCAGCGCACTTACAGGGATATAGCTGGCATTGATGTAGTCGGAGCACGGGTCATCATCCACATTGGACAGCTTCACTCGAGAGGCATCATCTGGAAGTTTATTGAGACATATTTGTCACTGAGTCTTGGGGTGATTTTTCTCTGGTTTATGGAACAATGATCCCCACAACGGCCCCACAAGGGAGAATCTTCATCTCCACTTTGCAGATAAGGCTCAGACCGGATAACTAACTTGCCCCGGGTTGCATACTTGGCTCATAAACACACAAACAATCAAATGCCTCTTGAAGCCCCCTCTGTGCTCTCCTCTGTAACACTATTTGTAACCCTATGACATTTGCCCAAGGAGTGGCCAGCTCCCTCCCACTGCTGGAATGCATACAATCCAGAAAAACGACCTTCTATTGCTTCACCTAGTAGGGTAAGGGTAATGAAAATATACAATAATTATTTAATAGTCATGGCTAACTGGAAACTTTGTTAAGCAAACCTAGGTTGGCCTTTGGTGTTAGTCCTGTTACTGCTCTGAGGCCTCCAAGGAGCAACAGTAAGACCACATGTGACATGTCAACAGCGTACGAGGCCTCTCAGAGCCAGAGTTTAAGCGGGTTGTTACCCATCTGGAAGGAAGTGCAGTAACATACAAGTCATTCCTTTTTAAAGACATTCAGAGCCCCAGATCTTTCCAATTCAGCCCTACCGTATTTCTTTAGCCCATTGTATTACCGGAAAAGAGGAGAAACGACTAGAGGAAGACAGTGTTACAAACGTCGTCGGGAAACTCACAGGGCAGTATGTTGTTGTATCGGTTTTTCCCTCGATTCTCCGGCAGGAGTGCAATGTCACACGGCTGGTTTCGACCCACGTCTTTTAAGTCCTATTGGGTCAAAAATACGTTTGCAAGTAGAGAACATGAAATAGAAGAAGGCAAATCATACAGTCTTAAGACAGATAACACCATGAGAATATGTACACTGTTTATGGAGGGCCTCGTGTTCTGCATGCACTAGCTCTGGTCCTCACAGCCACCCCACAGGAGGCATTCTCACCTCCATTTTACAGATAAAGCTCAGACAGGATAACTAACTTTCCCCAGGTCACATGGGTGGCAACGCTGGGAATCGAATCCAAAGTCTGGGCACTTTTCATCAAAGCCCATTGTTTCCTTGTCAGGTAAATGGGCAGGTTAAATAACTGAGAGCATTAGGCTTGCATCTGCAGTTTATTAATTCTTTCTTACCAGCGCATCCAGGCAGCACTTGGTTTGCTATGCAAGTCTGGAGGTGAAATGGCCTGTGAGACTAGGTGGTATGTTGTGCGGGGAAGGGACTCGGGCATAAAAGAGTACTCAGCTGAGGCCCTAAGTGTCATCCTAACTCCTGAGCCCCATCGGCCTGTGATTCCACAGTAAAGGTTGGGAGGAAGCATCACTGCATCCGAGTCGTACCTCGTACTCCTTGGACAGAAGGTAGTTGGAGTCAGCCTGCAGCTTCATGAAGTGCCCTTCAAACTGATTTAATTTTATTGGGCTAGAGTGAAAATATAACAGAAGGAAAAGAAAATTACTGAAGGGAAACTGCCATAGTCAATTAGAGCTGTTTTTCAAAAGCAGATAATAGAGTAATTAATGAGTTTTCTCTCTTACCAAGAAGTTTTCCGGTTACTGTGAAAGGAAGCCAAAAGAAGAAAGACCTCATTAGTAAACCTCACATAATACAATCAACTCATCTTTCAGTCAATCGTGTGCAAGAAGATGCGGCGCTCACCCTTTCTGGCCCAGGTTCAAGTGGACAGATAGTGGTCGATCCCGGCGGATGCTCAGGTGGGCAGAGGGCCTTTCTCGACCATGGCTGTAACACAGGGGAGAGGATTTATATTCTAAATATGAAACATTACATTAGGACTTCAACACATTTTCCACTTATGGTAAGGCTGTGCATGCTTGTGCATATATGGGTTTTTCAGTATTCGTGTAGATTTACACCCAGCCAACGTCTCTTTGAGGGAGGGAAAGAGAGGAAGAGCATAAAGAAGAAATAGATTTTTCCCACTCAGAAACGGATCTCTGCAATAGCTGAAGATTTGTCTTCTGGTTTTTGGCTACAGGTCACAATCACTTCCCACACTCTCAATAAAACTTTCCTTAAAAAATCCCCAGTAAACCTTAGATGCAAGACATGACATCAAGAGAGAACACAGTGTGCCAAATAAAAGAAATTCCCTAAGAGGCATTGAGACCACATGCTTTGGTTCTTTTTGGTCTCTCCTTAAAATTAGCACAGCAGATTTGAGCCACAAAATGGTGATGTCAGCCATACTTTTCAGCATATTTCAGAAAAGTGCTTGGGCAACAATTTGCACACATCTTTGTCTTCATGAGGAGATGGAACCACACACACTGATTTTTTTTTTTTTCCTGTGCAAAAGATGTTGCTTTGCACTCAAATAAAGCTACACACGGCCCCTCAGTCACACCGGGAGAGGCCCGAATTCATCAGTGGTGTGTAGAGAGGCTGAAAAAAACAAGTCACGGTTTCAGGGTTTGACTTCTGCTTCTCTTGAAAACAAAGGTGATTTAACTGAGAGAAATTAAATTCTTTTTCCTTCTTACTGGTCAGGCTAAAGGGCATTTTCAGTTGCATCTTTAAGGCTGTGGGCCCACTCATGGAAGGGATCTTTGTACTCACCTTGTTTTCCGCCTGCAGATAAATAAGGCGACAATGGCCACCAGCATGCCGATTAGGAACAGGCCAGCACTCACACCCTCAATAACTCCGAACAGAGGCTCTACAGCAATACAGACGGAAACAACAAAGCCAGGTGGCACATTAGGGCCAACGGCCCGGTAAGGAGCTAGGAGCTCTATCTCCCCCCAGAACGCGAATACAGGAGAATTCAAACGATGCCCACACGCCGGCATTTCCCATCGAGGAGATGAAATGCTGGCTACCACTCTGGAACGGCAGGTCGGTCATTGTCCTTTTGAAGTTAATATTATTTAGCTTTTAAAGGGATTTTGAACTTGTTTGTGTGCTTGTATATAAAGCTTGGGACCCGTGAGATAAATGCCAGCAGTTTGCCACCAAAATAAAAATGTTTTTTCATTTGTATAAAACAAGCTACAGCATCTGGGACTTTAGCCAATCCAATGAATTGCTGAGAGTTATTTTAACAAAACCTCATTTTTACTTTCTGGTATAATACTGCCACTGGGAGTTTATGAAGGATAGGTAAGAGTAGCCCTCTTTTAAAACAGTTTTATTGAAATATAATTCACATACCATATAATTCACTAGTTTAAATTGTATAAGTCAATGATTTTTAGTATAGTCACAGGATTTTGCAAACATCACCACATTCAATTTTATAACATTTTCACCACCCCCCCCAGAGAAACCCTATGCCCTTAGCTGTGTTCTCTATTCTCCCCCTTCTTAGCCCTGCCAAGCATTCATCTTTCTGTCTTCACAGATTCACCTATTCTTGACATTTTATATAAACTGAGTCATAAATACGTGCTCTTCTGTGATTGGGTTCTCTCACTTAGCATAATTTTTTCAAGGTTCAGCCATATTGTAGTATTACATTCCTTTTTATGGCTCAATAATATTTCATTGTATGGATATAGCACATTTTGTTTATCCAATCATCCATTAATGGATATTCAGGTTATTTTTGTTTTTTGGTTATTATGAATAATACTGATATGGACATGTGTTTACAAGTTTTTGTGTGGACATATGTTTTCATTTCTCTTGGGTATATACTTAGGAGTGGAATTGTTGGGTTAGATGGAAACTCCAGATTTAACATTTGGAGAAACTGGAACACTGTTTTCCAAAGCAGCTGCACCATTTTACATTCTCACAAGCAATGTACGCAGGTGCCACTCGCTCCATATTCTCACTAAAGCTTGTTACTGTCTTTCGGATTAGGGTCATTCTACTGGGTGTGAAGTGGTGTCCTATTGTGGTTTTAACTTACGTTTCCCTAATGACTTATGATGTTAAGCATCTTTTCATGTGCTTATTGGATATTTGTGTCTCTTTGGAGAGATGTCTATTTATATCTTTTGTTATTTGTCTTTTGATTATTGAACTGTGAATTAAGAGTTCTTTACATATTCTGCATACTCAAATCTTAATCAGATATAAGATTGGCAAATAGTCTCTCCTATTCTGTGGGTTGTCTTTTCACTTTCTTCATGGTCTCCTTTCAAGTACAAAAGTTTTTAATTTTGATTGAGTCCCATTTATCTATTTATTCTTTTATTGCTTGTGCTTTTGGTGTGATATCTAAGAAACCATTTCCTAACTCAAGGTCACAAAGATGTACTCCTGTGTTTTCTTTTAAAAGTTATATTGCCTTCGCTCTTATGTTCAGGTCTACGGATGAGCCCATTTTTAAAGTTCTATTTTAAGCCCTTGGATTTGTTTACTCAGGGTTGCTTTTCAAGACTCATCAAATCAACACCATCATCTTTCTTTTAAGGTGGTTAATATTCTTTTTTTTAAATATATGCTTAGTATCTTCCTTTACTGGATTATATACAATTTTTGTTGTGTAACAATATTCAAAGAGGAAGGACTTGTGTTTACAATGCCTCTACTTAACATTAAATTATAAGCAAACATGTCTAAATCGTCTTAACTGTGTTCTGATCTCTTTTTGGCTTGAAAAGTGGGAGATTATTCCTATTTTTGGCATAAATAGATGAGGGTGTTTGTGAGGCTGAGTCATTTTTGTCCTGCAGCATGACAGACTGTTTTAGCTGTAAAGAAGAACTTCCTGAGACCGGGCACCGTGCAACATGGGAAAGGCTGGGACAGACCATGGTAACGAGGAAAATGTGCTGCAAACTGATGCTGTTCTCAGCCTCACTGAAATACCAAAGCAGTGCAGTGCCCGGGTTAAGGGTTAGGCAGAAAGTGTCAACACCAGCTCTGCCAGGCTGTATTCAGCATGGTCAGTGGAAGTCTTGATAAGCGAACATTTGCGCACAAATCTGAATTACTTAAACTCTTGGTGCCTCAGGTCCTCACTTTTAAAATGGGGATGAAAACAGTATCTACCTCAAAAGTCTGTAGGAGGCTTGGGTTGGTTATTCTATGTACAATGCTTCAAACTAGCTCTATAGAGCAGGCGACCAGTAAATGTTAGCTGTCATTATTACTCAGGCTTTCCTTCTAACACACAAGAGATGTTTCTTTCATAAATGTATGTAAAGCCTTTTAAGTTAATATTTTTTTGTAGTGTAAAAACAACATATAACAAGCAAAAGGAGAAAGGCCACCTATAATCCCACTACTTTGAGATATTTGTTGTTAATACTTTGGTATTTTTTCTTGTTTTTCCCCCCTATACATTTCTAAGCATATGCGTGTATACATTTGAAAGCCTTTTGTATCTATTTATATTTTGACCTGCGAAAGCTCAAGAATGATTTCACCCACTATTAAAAAAATTCATCTTTAATAGAAAAAAATCTACTTCTACCTTTTCTAGATTAATCCCCCCCCCAATCCATTCTCCTGCAGAAGCTATGTAATTCCTCTAATCCACATCAATCCATAATCACATAAAGATTAGATTCCAAGTGAAAATAAATGCTCTCCCCACTATCAACTAGGTTAGCATGTCTCCCCAGGAAAGATCCTTGTAGGTGACTGCAGTTGATGAAATATGTGGGTAGACAGAAAGGTTAGCCTTACCTGACTCAGTGGTGATGGGCAGAGAGAAAAATGTATCTGAATACAGTGGCTTTGTGAATTCCTTTAGGTTCTCATCAAACAGCTGTGTAAAAGCTCGAATACTGATTCTGAAAAGAAAACATTTATTTAGGTACAAATTAGTGGCTGACCACAGTAGGGCTGACTAAAGAATGTGTTCATAGAGAAACAGGGTGGCACCTGTCAATATGTATGTAGGGTAAGATATGAGTTATGGAATCAGGGTTCATTCATTCATTCATGCATTCATCAAATATTTATAGAGTTCCTACTGTGTGCTAGACCCTGTTCCAGGAGCTATAGATACTGCAAGGAAGAAAATAAAAGCCCTTACCGTCCTAGAGGTTACATTTTCATGGAAGATGCCAGATAATAAATATACAAATATAATATGCCAAATGGTGATCTGTACCATTAAAAAAAAGAGCAGAGTAAAGGAGATGGAAAGCAATGCGTATGGGGCATGTGGGGCCTCTTTGTTCAGCACGGCCAATGAAAGTCTCCTTGATAGAAGGATATACGCACAGAAATCTGAGGAAAGGGAAGGCGGGCGACGTGGCTGCATTCCAGGCATGTGCAAGGTTCTGAGGCAGGAACTTGCCTGGGTGCAAAGAGGCCAGCAAGGCTGAGCACAGTATGTGAATGATGGAGTGGCAGGAGACGAGAGCAAAGATCTAGAAGGGCCAGACCAAGGACGACCCAGAAGGTCTGCTGAGGATTTTGGCTTTTGTTCTGAGAGACATAGGAAGCCACGAGAGGGTGTTACCAGCATCACTCTGGTTGCGGCAGCATGGGGACAGCAGCAGAAGAAGGGAAACTAGTCAGTAGGGGACTGCAGCAGCCTGGTGGGAGATGCTAGCTTGGACCAGAATGCAGTCATACTGGTAGTGAGGAGTGTTGGATATTTCAAAGAAAGAGCNCATCACTCTGGCTGCGGCAGCATGGGGACAGCAGCAGCAGAAGGGAAACTAGTCAGTAGGGGACTGCAGCAGCCTGGTGGGAGATGCTAGCTTGGACCAGAATGCAGTCATACTGGTAGTGAGGAGTGTTGGATATTTCAAAGAAAGAGCTGAAAGATTTTCTGATGGACGTGCAATGTGAAAGGGTGGAATCAAGGATGACTCCACATGTTCTGGCTGACGAACAACTGGAGGAATGGGGGTGCCATTTGCTAACGTCAAGGAAGACCGTGGAGGAGAACGTTGACGAGTTTGGGGAAATACAGAGTTCACTTGTGGGGGCAGTAATTCTGAGGTGCCTGTTCGAGCAGCCAAATGGGTCAAATATCATTATCATTAGTATTATTGTCATTGGTGCTATTTTAAAAAAATAACTACACATACAAATAAAACTTTACATTGAACATTACATTACAAATAAAATTATGGATCTCCCCATCTTTTTGGTACTAGTTATTTTCTAAAGAGCCTAATATCTAAAAATATTCTAATATCATCGTCATAAAATTTACTTAGACTTCCTTATATCTAATTGCTGAAGTTAAAAAGAGACACATGGTCACTACTCTTGAACACTAGAAAAATAATATGAAGAAATAAGGCAAATAGTAAAACAAGAAAGCATATATTAAATTCCAAATGAGGAACACTGCAATTTGGAGAAAACTGCAATAAGAGGGGGTGGCCTGGGGCACAGGGTTCCAAGTGGGGGAACAGTATAAAGTCAAATGGAAGAGCCAGCAAAAAGCCATCTGGGAGCAAAGTGGTCCATCTAGAGGCTAGTATGATAGTCCCGGCCAAAGGCGTGGGGCCTTGGTCTGGGGCAGTGGCAGTGAGAACAGAAAGAAGACTGAAAGGCACTGAGAGGAGGGGCCAGATAGGACACAGTCTGAAGAGGAGAAGGGGGGAATCAAAGATGGTTCTAAGATTTGAGCTGACATTGGGAGTTACCCCAGTCACCTGGACAGGAGAGCTGCTGAGGTACCTGTCCACGTGCCCATGTGGGATGGTGCCTGGGGGTCAGCTGGCCCTAAATTCAATAAGCAAGCAAGGTGCAGCTCCTAAAACAGAATTAGAACCTCGGCCTGGATGAAAGCCTATTGTACCCATCACAGGACCTAAATCTCATGTTCTCTGGGTGAGTCAGGTCCAGTCTGAGGGCTGTACTCAGTTTCTGGAACCATTATTTAGGAAGCATTAGAGATCATTTGAGGTGATTGACCAGGATGATGACAGAGAAGACTTAGGGGAACATGATAGTTGACTTCAGATTTCAGGAAGACGGCCACGTAGAACAGGAAACAGACATCGAGTGTAGTTTAGGAACACAAAGTCTCTCTCTAGCGTCTAGAGTAGGAGCAGAGTAGTAGCACCTAGGTAGTGAAGGGCTTTAAGTTACTGAAGGGCTCTAAGCAGAGACCAGAGGAAAACCAGCTCTCAGGGTAGCTGCAGGAGAGGATTGCTGCACTAAGTTAAAGATTGGCTCGGGCCACCTCTTGAGTTCTTTATATCTCGAGATTCTCAGACTATAGGTTTACTGATCGAGTATCAGGCTTGGTTTATATGAGGAAACTTTATCTAGTGTTAATTTAAATCCTATGAAAGTGAATGGAAAATTCCTTTTTTCCTTTCTAAAAAAGTCTAAATTTGCTGAGCCCCAAAGTATCTGGGCATGTCCTGTAATAATGTTGAAGTAGTAAGAGGACAGGAAAAATTGTTCTGACCCTCTGTCCCCTCCGTCTAACTCATGACCCCCAACCCTGCTTGAACCTGGTCTATTTGCTCTTCTCTAAACAATCTGCATGTTTCTGCTTCTGCACGTGACTCACTCTGTTCCCTCCACCTTAATTCTCTGTTCCTATTGCCAGAGTTTCCCCTACAGCACCTGGCCCAGTGCTTTTCACTGAAGAGGCACATGTATTGAATATATTAGCATGATATATTTAATAATATGAATAAGATCATTTCAATGAATAGCTATCTGATAGTACTTATTTCAAGTTTAACTGTGTCCAGAATCAGAAAATTCCATAGCACAAAGTCAGAGATCATGTGGTTCAGTTTCCTTCATTTCAGGAAAAGGAGGTCAAGAGAAGCTGGCTACCTGATTGTGGTCACGTTGCTATTCTCTTTAGAATAGAAACAAAACCAGATAAGCACTTTCCTAACCTCCAAACTGCCTCTTACCCATCATGCTCTGCCCTTTCTCTTCCCAAATGGAACGATGCTAATTATACAACCAAATAATAGGAACCCAACCACGAACAGGAACACATTACATTCATTGACATAATAAACTTGCATGTTAGCTAAACTTAGCGTTTTTCCAATTTCTTTTCAGGACTTATTTTTCTGTTTTCATGTTCCTTCCTGTCCACCTATTCTCTCTGGAAGAAAGATGCCTGACAGCACTGAGGATCAGCGTGGTGACTATCATCTCGAGACAGGCGGAATGCTGACTTCCCTGAGCCAGGGTTCAGCAGCGCCACGCAGGAGGCCACTTAGCACGCGGCTCTCCCGTGTGCTCTGCAAGGCCAGGCCTCCTCTCACCCAGCACTATCTGCCTGGCACGCTTTTCACAGGACTGAACCAAGTGTACATTGGAGAAATAGAGGAGAGCTGTGTCCTAGAAACAAACATGTAAGGCATGAGTTGAGTATGCTATAACAAGAATGTGTAACTTTTCCTAGAGTATCTTGGCTCCTAAACATTTAATAAGTGCTTCTGTTGTGCCTGGTACTTGTCATATTGTTTCATAACCAATGTCACTTCTGTCTCTATTAGACCGTGAGCCCTCTCAGTGTAGTGAAGAGGACAGGTGATTAAACAAAGGGTTAAAAGTCACTGGTAAGTGGAGGATTGATTAGAGGAATATAGGGACTGGGTGCTATGGAAATGGAGCTGAGGGTCCAACTGTCCAGCTGAGCATTGAAGAGGGTGGAATGGGGCTGGTGGAGGGTTGAGCTGGCTTTTGAACTGTTTGAAGGAATTTACCAGCCAGACAAGGGAGTGGCAGGCATCCCAGATAGAGTGAAAAAAACGTGCAAAGGCTCAGAGGTAAGAGAGCCGTGTCATTTTCAAGGGAACTCTGAGGAGTGAGAAGTAGCAAGAGGCCAGGGTGTAATTGGGCAGACGGTGGGAAACAAAACTGGTGAGGAAGGTGGGAGGGACAAGGCGAGGGCTTTGTGTGCCCTGCTCTGGAATCTTCACTTGCTCTTAGAAGTGAACGGGAATCACTGGAAGACCTTAATCTAGAAGGAGCTAATGGTCAAAACCCGGCAGCACTGGAACTCAGTGCAGGGGCTCACCCGAGGAAGGAATGCGCTGGGAGCCTGGTAGGCTCTGGTCCGAAGGCGAACTATCTATAGCTTCTTGTTCTCTCTCTCTGAAACACAGTGATGAATCATCTTCTCTCTCTCTCAGAAAGCAAACAAACAAAAACAGCCACAATTTTCCAACTCACAAGGAGAAAATGGTCCTTGGAAGACTTTTGTTGAAGTTTCCTTGGGCCCAAGTGACAAAGAAGCTGAGGCATTTTTGACTCTTACAGGAACTGAAGGATTCCAGCATTCTGATCTCTCTTATATTTCTCCTTTGCTCTGTCTGAGATCCCAGCTCCTTCTGATAAACTTATAATGGTCTTTTCTTGAATTAAACATCACTAGTAAGTCTGTGTACGTTTACTTTGGAGGTACAAACCTTGGCTGGGGTGGCAATATCATTTCTGTGGTGTGTCCTGGGCAGAGTTCCTGCCCAAAGTGAGCACTCTGTTTTAGGAAAACTACTGGCCTGCCTTTGCTGATGTGAGGGAGGAGCTAAGTGTTCTTAGATGTCAGGTCACTGTCTCCTTTTGGAGCTGACTCAGGGCTGATACTCAAAATATGTAAGAGTCAATATACCTGGGCACCCAACAACAAGAAGAGATACTGGCCCATAGAGAACCTGATTGGCTGCCCTATTGGCTAGATATCAGCTCTGGGAACATACAACAGAGAAGGAACATCTCTCACAGAATTACTGTATCTTGAATGCCTGTATCTATAGGTTCTCTTGCTCTTGAGGACCCTGGGTTAGGATGCTGTGCACTTCTGCCAGTTCCTGCAGCTGGGAGGGCCTGCTGGCTGCAGCAGTGCTTCCTGGGACCAAACCAAACAGCTGTTCCTTTTCACCTGCCATCTTAGGGTGAGGAAAGGAGGCTCCCATTCACTCAGGGGCCTCCCCCTTCAAGAGTTCTGTCCAGACCAAAGAACACGTTCATGTTTTCATGCCTTAGAAGGTAAATAACTTAAGTGTAATTTGGGTCCTCATTAAAAGTGGAAGATGAAATCTCATACTTCTTGGGTCTCCCTCAACTCAATCTTTCTACTTGGACATTTTCACAGTGGTTAACTTGTGAATTGATTTGGCTCGTACTAAAGAAGTTTTAGGAGAAAGAGCAATCTATTAAGGACCTTCAATTCTTCACATAATGGATTAGAGCTTTTGCACAATGCTCAAGGTCCTTTCTATACATTACCTGCGAATGGAGGGAGGAATACATCTTTTATAAATTACAGAGTAGAACATAGAGCACTCTTATAATGTAGGTAATTAATCTACAGGAGCTCGTGTGCATCAGCTGCCCAGCCAGCCAGCCGCCTAGTACCGTAGCATGTCCCTTCCAGAAAAATGATGGCAATACATCTAACCTGTAGGCAGTGCGCGGCTTCAGCGGCCCATCACAGAATTTTTGCTGATTGGGATCGCATTTTCCACCCAGGCTCTCCATCTCTGCTCCAAGCTTAATGTTAAAACTCTTGGAGTTGCTGTCAGGACTTTCGGCACATTTGCTGGCAAAATAATCGGTCTGATACACTCGAATGGAAGCATTGTGCCGGTATTCCAGGTAGGAGGGCAGAGGGTGCTGCTGTTCTGGCTTCAGCTCATCACTGCCTAAAGGGAGAAAAGCCACAGTGAAGACTGACTTTCTTGTGACCTCAGTGATTTCTACCCAGGTTTCTAAGGCTGATTCCTCACCATCCCAGAGTGCAGAATTTGTGATCTAGAGGGATACTGTGAAATTCTCCCAATAAAATTAATTTTAATTTACTTTTTCTAAAATAAATTATAAATAATGTATAAACAAAATTATATATAGAAATACACACACACACATATATGTGTGTGTGTGTGTGTATGTATATATATATACACACACACACACACACACACACACACACACATATATATATATATATATATATATATATATATATATACGATCATTTATCTTGGAAATAAAATGTGTGTGTGAGAGGGTATCTCATTAAATCAAATGATAGTATGTCCCACAACTCCAGAAAGTTAAACATTCCCCATTGTGAGTCAGCTCACTCAATAAGCTCTCTACCTTGCCAATAATCATTGTAGCTAAGCTAATAAGGAAATCCCTATGACCTTGGAAATAGGGAAAAGATAAGAGAAATCAAGTCCAAAGCCAGAGCAGTCCCCCATCAGCACGTTCCACGTGCCACACCCAGTCTGATAACTGCTCCGGGTACATAACTGTTATCTTGAGTACAGTTTAATCCTGGCTTGAATTTGGCCCCTCATGCAGAACGCTTCCCAGAACTCTTCCCCTGTCCACCCAGCCTACTGTGTGTTTTGGCTCTGCAAACCAGTTTTGATGTTGGTTGGAGGAAAGCATAATTAGGAAGATAAATATTATGGAGACCAAATACCATTTACAATGAACTTCAAGGAGTGATAGGGTAGGGGTTCATGGCATCCTACACTCATTTAATAAAATTTGCTCAGAATGAGTGGATGGTGGAAATATTATCTTGTAGGCAGTAGTTGAAAAGAAGTGTAGCCTTTCGGATGAGTGTATACTCTGTAAATGTCATTTATATGAGATGGATGTCAGGTCACCAGGGGAGCACAACCCATCTCTATGGACATCAATAACTGAAACCCACCTGGCTGAGAAGACAAGGCTGCTTTCTGGGGTGTGACTTCTTTTTGGTCACTGCCTTATATTCATGTAGTAAAACATTATCTTCACTGCAGCCTACTTAAATCTAAAGCCTCTCCATAATTCAATTTATCTTCAGTTCTGAGGTGTGAAGAAATCTGGGAGGCACCACTGACCCTTGAAATTATTTAATTAATTATGCATACCCAGCTTTAGCACAATTAAATAAGATGTAAAAGCACATAGACTGTTAGATTCCTGTTGAGACTAAAGTACTATCCAACATTTGTGAGGTTTAAAGTCTTCCATTGCCCACAAATGGGTTAAAATAGTCAAGGACGTTTAAGAAACTCATGTGCAGCACTTTCAACAATTTTGAAAATATAAGACATGCAAAATATATCAATGCCATTCCAGACACAAACATTTATTTTGGATAAATAACACACAAGACCTCAATGGCAAATACACTCATGGGCACGTGTGCACCAATATACAACACTCCTGTGTTTTGACAAATGCTGATGTATATAATAATCTCTAAAGATCATACTTGGTGGATGTGTGGAATGTTGTTCAACTACTACCTAATATTTGCCTGGTCCATAGGAATTAAGTAGACACTGAATAATTTGAGAATGAAAGAACTAGGGAATAAAACATCCTATTGAAAATGCCATAGAGAAAGGAGGAATGCTTTTTATAATCATCTCTTTCCTCCCTCAAGCTTTTGAATATTTTTGTGAATTGGTGGGTGGCTTGGGAGCTTGTGGTTGGTTGAGGTATTTGAGACAGAGACGGGGGAAGACAGCTGAAGCATTTTACTGCTAATGGCAGACCAAGAGAGCAGCGAACAGGGCTGAATGAGTCCTGAAGAAGACTGAAGGAGTCTGTACACACAATGCACTTCCACCAGTGCCTGACAGCAAATGATGGTTACTGTTATTACTGTTGTGGTTGCTATTATTATTATTATTCACCCATGCAATAATTATACCCAGCAGATAATAGGCTTTATTATTGAAAGAGCCTTTGAGCAGGTTTTCGTTATATCTCCCTGCACCTGGCAGGGACAGAGTGAATGGCATAAAAATGAAGTTTTCTACTTTGAAGAACTCTCACAGGGACCTCTAGGAGGCGTTCCTGCATCTTACAGTGGCCTGAACTCACTCACCGTCAGCCTCTCTCACGACCACCGTGAAGTATTTCACTGCCCCGTTGGTGTCGCTGAACCAGCTGCAGTTGAAAGTAAAGTGGATGGAGGACTTGCTGATCAGCACGTCTTTTTTATTCACGCGGATGTGTGAGGGCGGAGGGGGAGGGCCTGAGGGAGGGGGAGAAAGAACCAAGAAGGGTCACAACTGTTTTCGCACAAAAACGATCTCAAAATGCAGGTCTCGGCTTGCCCGCATCCCCCGCGTGAGACCAAGCGCACCGCCTCCTCTCCCGCAGGGAAGAGGCTGAGGAGAGGGGCCAGCGGCACACGAGGCCTCAGGAGAGAGGCAGCCCCTCAGCAGGACGCCCTGAAGCTGCCCAAAAGCTCCAGCATCGCTCCAGCTGTATCAGGCAAAGCGATGGATTTAAATACTAACTCATTTGAATACTTCAAGATCTTTTAACTTGTTTGCTGCCTGGGGTACCTTACACAGAGAAGTGTTTCGGTTTTCTGGAGCCCTTTAGGTTCTCTTCTCTAAGTGGCAATGAGCCATGCGAATGTGTAAATGAACTGTATACAAGTGAACAGCGGTGACAGACACCACAGAGCACAGCGCACAGCTCCGGGACACTTACGGTCTATCATTGTGATAGTGCTGTCTTCCACCACCTCGCTGGTCACACCGGCCGACTGCACCTTGATGGACACCAGGTACCGCTTATGGGGCACAAGCATCATAATATTGAGCAGAGATTTCTCCTTCTCCAGCTTTCTGGAAAACTCCACCTCTTGAGTGTCCATTTTCCGGCATTCAATGCTATACCCGTCAAAGTCAGAATCAGGAGGGATCCAAGAACAGGCAATGGCCGTGGAGTTCTGGGGCCGGCAGTGCAGGTTTTGGATCTTGTCTGGCTCTAAAGGATAGAGAGGAAGGGACACTTTTCACCACTCCATGAGACACGTTTTTGTGTGTGTGTTTTTCTAGCTCCTTTGGGTCCAACTAGCTTGGAGATCTAAATAAATAATTCCCAAACCTAATTTGGATTGTTTTTCTGAAAAAAAAATTCTCATAGACGTCCAAGGGAATGTCTGCCTGCCAGAGCCTGTTTTGAGAAACACTGAAAGTAAAAATGCTGTCCCTTTAGGAAATCACCAGGTGCCAACATGACTGGAAACACAAACGGGCATGTGGGTAATGAGATCGAGTGGCAGAAGTCAGATAGAAGGTAACACAGAGTAAACGAGAGGTCAGAAGTGCAGCTCAGCCTGCGTGAATTCAAGCTCTGTTGACCAGCTGTGCGCTCTTGGGAAAGTTACTTAACATATCTGTGCCCCATCTGTAAAGTGGAGAAATTAAGATAACCAATCATCATATGGTTACTGTAATGATTCAATGAGTTGAAACATGCACAGCCACCTAGAACAGTGCTGGTATAGTAATTGCTCAATAAACACTAGCTCTTATAATGAGGAAATTAAGAAATGGCATTGCTGATCTGTTACCCTCTGGGTTCTGGCTTCTGTCCCCCTCTCTTCCATTTTCTGCCTGCGTCTCCCTGCTCACATGCCATGGCACTGAAACTGCTTGTGGTTCCCCATGTAGACATGCTGTTCCATGCCCCTGTGCTACTGTCATTCAGTTTCTTCTGCTTGACAGAGTGCCTGACCCAGGAGGGACTCAGTAAATGGAAGCTGATCTTATTTGTTGTGAATGACAAAACAGTGAGTATTCAGTCTGAAAGAAAAGCACTTATGTGACCATACAGGATAATAAGAAACTTTGTAGGCTGCTCCAAACCAGCTGCATGCCTACCGTTTCTAATTATTTATATATCTGTAAGGCTAAATTGTACAATTTAGATAAGTAATTTTTGAATTTGAATTTTAGCAGCTGAGCCATTTAAAAAAGACAATTTCTCAGTTCCCCAGTCTGTAAAATCAGAGAGGTCCTGATCTGTGTTTTAAATGTACATTGGGGTCAGAGGTGCTACGTTGGAGTGCTCTTCCTAAGACCTCCCTTGCTTTGCCCCAAGAATTTCCAAGTAGCCTTCAGGCTCTGGAATAGAACTTGAAAACCTAGGTCTAGAACCTTATTTCATTCCAGGAGTCAAAGCCTTCATAAAGATTACTTTTTTAAAGAGTGCTCATTGTTCTATTGACCATAGCACAAAACACAGTAACTAACAATCCTCACATGGCAATAATCAATGACGTCAACCCGTCAAAAGGTTCACAGAAGAGCTGGTGTTGGAGACAAGCAATAACTGTGTCTTTTCAAGCATTAACTGCTTATTAAATTTTTGAACTCCTTTCAAACCAAGTCAGAGCTGCGACCCAGAGACACCTCTTTCAGCCTTGGAGAAAGTATTTTAAAACATCCTGCCTAATCCATAATTCTGATAATTTATGCAAAGAATAATATGGAAACTGGCTTCCACCTCTTCCCTCAGCTCCTTCTCTTTCTTCCTTTTCAACTGTAAATCCCACCTGCCTTCCAAGACTCAGGTCCCATCCCTTTCACTAAGAAATGAGTACCTATTATGTGCAAGGTGCTCTTCTAGGGACTGTGGCCAGCAGAGAGGTGAATATGACATTAGCCTTAAGTTCTAGGAAGGGAAAGGACTCCAAAATAGTCATAATATGAGGTAGAAAGGAGAATGTCCCAGAAGAAAGGAAAAAAGAAAGTTCTGTGTAGCAACAGAGACTTTTCTGCTGCTGGCACTAGTGGTGGGCAGGAGTTAGCAAAAGCTTTCTGGCAAAAATGACACCTGGCTCAGATGCCAGGAAAGGCATTTTAGGCAGAGAAGGCCATGTACCCAGGCACCAAGGG